CGGCTTTTCTCCAGTGTGAACTCTCAAATGATCTTTCAGGACTCCTGACCGAGCAAAACTCTTTCCACAGTGTGAGCACTTGTAAGGTTTCTCTCCAGTGTGAATCTTCTGGTGTTTTTTTAAGTTGCTGGTTGTAGCAAAGCTCTTCCCACAGTCAAAGCACACATAAGGTCTCACACCAGTATGAATACTCTGGTGATTTTTTACAGATTGCAGAAGTGCAAAACTCTTTCCACAAAAAGAACAAACGTGAGGCTTCACTCCAGTATGAAGTTTAAGGTGTTTTCTTAATGTCGATGCCACAACAAATGTTTTATCACACTGATCACAGCTGAATGATCTCACTCCAGAATGAGAGAGAAGATGCTCTTTGAGAACGCTTCTGTCTCTGAAACTCTTTCCACACTGAGTGCATGAGAACGGTTTTTCTCCAGTGTGAATTTTCATGTGCGCATTTAGGTGTCCTGTCTGAAAGAAACTCTTTCCACACTGAGTGCATGTATAAGGCCTCTCTCCAGTGTGAGCTCTCATGTGTCTCGTAAGGTTTATTTTATCTCTGTAACTCTTTCCACACTCAGAACAGGTGAAAGATCCTTTGACTCCAGTTTTTCCAGCTTGTTTTTGTGTGAAATTCATTTCAGTCTGTGAAATTACTGCCTTTCCTTCTTCATTCGTGAAACGATGAGGTTTTTGAAACTGATGTTGTTTGTCTTCATGCACTTCCATTGGGTCTAAAATCAACAAATAACATTCTCATTATTTAAATAAAGAAGGACAAATTAAAGCACAAAATATACAGGTGCATCTCAAAAAATTTGAATATCATGAAAAAGTGAAAAATATCTGGGTTTTTTGGTAACTTATTTCAAAAAGTGAAACTTTTATATATTCTAGATTCATTACATGTAAAGTAAAGCATTTCAAAAGTTGTTTTGCTTGTTTTAATTTTGACGATTAGAGCTAACAGCTCATGAAAGTCAAAAATCCAGTATCTCAAAATATTAGAACATTTACATTTGAGCTTCATTAAATGACCATCTCTACAGTATAAATTCCGGGTATCTCTTGTTCTTTGAAACCACAATAATGAGGAAGACTGCTGACTTGGCAATTGTCCAGAAGACGATCATTGACACCCTCCACAAAGAGTGTAAGTCACAGAAGGTCATTACTGAAAGGGCTGGCTGTTCACAGAGTGCTGTATCAAAGCATATTAAGTGCAAAGTTGACTGGAAGCAAGAAATTGGGAAAAGGTGCACAAGCAACAGGGATGATTGCAAGCTTGAGAATACTGTCAAGCAAAGCCAATTCAAACACTTGGGAGAGCTTCACAAGGAGTGGACTGAAGCTGGAGTCAGTGCATCAAGAGTCACCACGCTCAGACGTCTTCAGGAAAAGGGCTTCCAAGCCACTTCTGAACCAGAAACAACATCAGAAGCATCTTACCTGGGCTAAGGAGAAAAAGATCTGGACTTTTGCTCAGTCCTCTATTCAGATAAAAGTAAATTTTGCATTTAATTTGGAAATCAAGGTCTGGAGTATCGAGGAAGACTGGAGAGGCTCAGGATCCAAGCTGCTTGAAGTCCAGTGTGAAGTTTCTGAAGTCAGTGATGATTTGGGGTGCTGAGACGTCTGCTGGTGTTGGTCCATTGTGTTTTATCAAGTCCAAAGTCAATGCAGCCGTCTACCAGGAGGTTTTGGAGCACTTTATGCTTCCATCTGCTGACAAGCTTTATGGAGATGCTGATTTCCTTTTCCAGCAGGACTTAGCACCTGCCCACAGTGCCAAAAACACTTCCTAGTGGTTTACTGACCATGATATTACTGTGCGTGATTGGCCAGCCAACATGCCTGACCTGAAGCCCATATGGAATCTATGGGATATATTCAAGAGAAAGATGAGAAACAGTCGATCTGAGCTGAAGGCTCAACAGCAGTGCCACAGGCTGATCGCTTCATGCCACTCCTCACTGATGCTGGAGTTTGTGCTAAAGGAGCCCCGACCAAGTATTGAGTGCAGAAATGAACTTACTTTAAAGAACTTGAACTTTTCTGTTTTGCAAATCCTTTTTTTGATTGATCTTAGCAAATATTCTAATATTTTGAGCTTTAATCATCAAAATCAAAACAAAACCAATTTTGAAATGTTTTTACTTTACATGTAATGAACTTTAATCATCAAAATTAAAACAAAACCAATTTTGAAATGTTTTTACTTTACATGTAATGAATCTAGAATATATGAAAATTTATAAGTAACCAAAAAAAAAAAAAACTTTTTCAGGATATTCTAATATTTTGAGCTTTAATCATCAAAATCAAAACAAAACCAATTTTGAAATGTTTTTACTTTACATGTAATGAATCTAGAATATATGAAAATTTATAAGTAACCAAAAAAAAAAAAAAAAACTTTTTCAGGATATTCTAATATTTTTATTGCACCTGTATAGTCACAACTCCTCATGGTCAAAATTTAGAGGGAACAATTTTTATTTATTTTTTTTCAGGTTTTTTTGTCAGTTCCTCATCAGTCATTAAAGAGAATGAAGGAAAACACCAACCTGTTTGTTCCTCTGTTTCTTCATCTCTCATTCTGCAGGGGTCTTCCTCAAGCTCCATCTTTCCAACAGTATGCCAGTAGTTCCTCCTGGAGTAATTCCTCCTGCTTGCTTCTTCTTCAGCTGTGGGAAGATGGGAATATTCTCCAGCATTTAAACTCTCATGAACGGCTGTGGAGCGGCTTCACTGAAGGTGTGAATTGTGCTCATTTAGCAGATGCTCAAACACTCACAATCACTCTCAATCAGCCAGCTTTAAGTGTATTAATCAAATAGTCATTTAGAAACAATTGTATTTATTATAATTTATACAACGGGAAAAAAAGATAAACCAAAATCAATTAAATACTAGTAAAATAAAATGTATTTAAATCATCAGACACACTTCTATCACCACCATCTGCTTACAATGACTGAAATAATCTCAGTTAGAACAGAAAATAGAATAAACGGTGACTATATTGTATTGCAATGGGTATAATGTCATTGTTGATATTTAATCAAAACAAGTTTAGACAAAGTTTATCAAATAACATATAGTTTAACAATTAAACTTTAAGTTTAACATCACAGATTTAACTAAGGGTGCACTTGAAATAGTTACAAATGGGATGCATGAATGAATGATGAGAGACAGAGATTTGTTTAAACGCTTTCTTTCATCCAGACTCTAAATAATGACAAACATCAAATGTGTGTCATGTTCATCTACTGTACATTAACTGCTATTTTTAAATTATAGTTTAGTCTTTATCTTCTCAAAAGTGTCATCATTTATAATCAGAAATAAGCTCTAGATTTCCAGCACTGTTACACTATCAGTTCTTCAATTCTCACAGCAGCTCAGAGTGAAGCTGAAAGATTATTAATGAGGGTTGATTTCTGTAATCAGACATCCATTAACCCTGTGAATGTGTGAGAAGTAAAGACAAAGGAAGAGTTTGCAAACCACTGATATGAGCATTTAACTATTGGGTCACATTCAATAGATGGATACATTTACACTTTGTCATGTAAATTACTAGTGAGTATCGTGCTTCATACGTTTTTCCTTTTTCATTTCAATTCGCACGTGACGAAAGTAATAATTCACAATTCAATCTCTGAGTCGAATTGATTCTGTAAGCATTTTTGATTCACTGAAATGAACCGACTCTTATGACTCATTCGTTTTTGAATCGGACACTGGTCGAGCTCAATGCAATTATACGTTGTCAGATGTATTTTTTACCAATAGATGAAAAATGAATGTAGGCCTACTCACAGGGTGCTTCTCAAATTATTTGTGCATCCTCGCTTCCTTTCCTCGGGTCTTAGCTCCACCCCTTCAGGATGCGAGGGAAGGAAAGAGGATGCACTACATTTTTTAAATCTAAACTCGATACATTTTCTATTCAGCTGTTTTCAACATCATAATAATTTTAATAAATTTTGAGCAGCAAATCAGCATAGGCTATTAGAATGATTTCTGAAGGATCATGTGACACTGAAGACTGAGTAATGATGCTAAAAATTCAGCTTTGCATCACAGCAATAAATTACATTTTAAAATATATTCAAATAGAAAACAGTTATTTTAAATAGTAAAAATATTTCACAATATTACTGCTTTTGCTGTGTTTTGGATTAAATAAATGCAGGCTTGGTGAGCAGAAGAAAATTCTTTAAAAAAACATTAAAGATCTTACTGTTCAAAAACTTTTGACTGGTAGTGTATATCATATCATACATACATATATCACATACATACATATATGAGCCAAGCGAGGACAGACTCGCCCTGCGTCCCAATGTGCACACTATCCACCCTATCTGCCTTAAATAGTAAATGACTAATATCGCGTATAATTTAGGATGGATAGTGTGCACATTGGGAGGCAGGCTCGGATTCGTTCATTTCGTGTTGACCGCGCATGCGCAGATTTTGCTAATCTCAAACGATCCCAGTGTTGCCAAGTCCGCGGTTTTCACGCGAAATTGGGGGCGACTTCAACACTGTTTCCGCGGGTTGTTTTTCATGACCGCATGTTGAAGCGACCCCAATAACGTGATATTTAGTCACTGGAATGCGAATTATACCAGGGGAGCCCCTCCAAAAAACGTGTATTTTACCCCTGGAATGCGATTTTTACCGGGGGGCCCTTATCCAAAGGCTACAGCAATTCTGGGCGGGTTTTGTAGTGAAAATATGGCAACCCTGCGCGGCAAGCATCTTTCAGTGACCAGTTCTGCGCAGATTTGGTTCATCTCAAACCTATTGTTTAATGGCTTTTTCTTTTAAGATTAGCCGATAGGCTGTCAATTCACTAATTGATAATCTGTTTCCTAACAAAAGCTGTTTATTCAGCGTAGTGAAGCCTCTCCTCCAGTGACATCCATTCAAAAAACGACTTTGGTCTCCTTCCCTGCATACAGCCATAGACGGTATAAAACCGTAGCCTACAGCCAAAGCAGCAGCAGCGGCGACATTGTTACATTGTTACGCTTCTCTGTCTGAAGGTTCCAGAGAGCCACGCTCCATCACATCACGGCTGATCAGAACTCGTTCACAGAAAGACGGATTGTACATTTGTACAGCACCCCGAGAAGGCATAAGGTGTGTATATATTTGTCTACTGTTCGTTGTAACACATATTTTGTGAAATTCGCTGAGTATGTTATAATATTGTAGTGGAGAGAGTGTTTATGGATGAGACTTTAATGCGCATTTTATACTGTTTTATTCAGCTCTTGCGGTGAAGAACCCTGCAGAATGAAAGATACAGAGGAACAAACAGGTTTGTGTTTTCCTTCATTCACTTTAATGACTGATGAGGAACATTAAGTTAAAACTAACATATATATATACAGTCAAACCAAAAAATATTCAGACACCATGCAGATATTCTTTAAAGGGGTCATATGATGCGATTTCAAGTTTTCCTTTCTCTTTGGAGTGTTACAAGCTGATTGTGAATAGATAAGATCCCTGAAGTTGACAAGTGGGTGCAGGACACTAAAGTTCATTTATGTAAGTGAGGATAACAAAATAAAGTAAACTGTGACATATTACACCCCAAAATTGTTCATACAGTGGACTACCAGAAAAACGTATAACATTTTGGGACCAAAAATGTGATATGACACTTTGAGCTGACCATGTTTTGTAACATCCCTTTCTATCAAAGTTATCTGACATTATCAAGATTAATTTGTTCTGGCACAGTTTAACTCTTGAGTTCTTCTCATATTTTATTACCATTTTCTAAACTATAGCGAATAAACTGTGATAATGTGAGAAATGTTGACGTGTCTGAATACATTTTGGTTTGACTGTATGAAATGCATCTAAAACTAGGTTCTAGTAGACAAACTAGATTTGTACTAAGTTAAGGGTTAACTTTTTGTTTTGTTTCTAATTTGTTATTCTTTATTTGAAGTTTATGGGAAATTAATAGGCTTATGTTGATTTTAGATTCAATGGGACTGAAGGAAGACAAGCATCAGTTTGAAAAACCTCATCATTTTAAAAAGGAAGATGAAAATGCAGTCATTTCAGAGACTGAACAGAATTTCACACAAACACAAGCTGGAAAACCTGGAGCCAGAGGATCTTTCACATGCACTCAGTGTGGGAAGAGTTTCAGTGAGAAATCAAAGTTTAATAGACACATGACAGTTCACACTGGAGAGAAGCCTTATACGTGCACTCAGTGTGGGAAGGGTTTCAGTCAGAAAACAAACCGTAACAGACACATGAGATCTCACACTGGAGAGAAGCCTTATACTTGCACTCAGTCTGGAAAGGGTTTCTTTGTCAAAGAAGAACTAAATGTGCACATGAGAATTCAACAAACAGGTTGGTGTTTTCCTTCATTCTCTATTATGACTGCTGAGGAACATTAAGATGAAAACGGAAATATATATATTTACACACACACATATATATATATATATATATATATATATATATATATATATATATATATATATACACAGTACACAATCTT